GTACAGCACGAAATAGTAACAAAATCATTCAAACTATTTCATCTACCGGTTCGGATGATCTAATAGACAATTGGGGATAGCACATATATTTACAAACTGTTAAATAGGATAAAGCGTCATATGTTTATCTATATATATATATATATTAAATCCATTGCAGAGGATACATTCAATAATATAAACATTAGGTATAATATATTCTCCAACTGTTGTTTACATACACGGCATATACAATGATTAAGAAAATATCACAAAATTATATTATAAAATATTCTTTAACACACAGCAACAAATGTAAATATATAAGTATTATATGGAACACATCATTTGTTATAGCTGAAGCGGCGCGAACTGTTCTACGTTCTATACCACTACATTTCTATACTGATAGCAATTACAATAGGATCTTTGTCCTTTATTATTGAAAATCAAGCCAAGATAACGTGAAATATGTGCAATAGTAATTTGTGTTTTCATATGATTAAGATATGACGTCATGCTTCAACACGTGAAGGATATTATCAGAACATACAATAGAAGTGTCAACAAACTATTAGGCACGTGTTATCACAGTGATCTGGGTGTCACATATAATTATCAACAAATTAATACATATAAACAAAAACAATGGCATTAACTATAAATCTCACATCTTTTCAGATGCGACGAATTAATTGTCAATAAATTGTTTTGATTATCTTATCCGTACACACCGATTTGTTAACCTCACGATATATATTTAAAAATATACCAATGCTATTCCTACACGTTTAGTGTAGATATCTTTTTATATATACCTAGTACTGCCAAATCTCGTTGATTTTACTATTTTTCTCTCATGAAAATTAATGCAACAACTTTGCACGCCATTTAACAATCAACTGTTACATGATTCATAATACGACCATCAACCTGGCATGGTTTTATATAAAAAGTACAACTGTACGGAACACAAAAACCGTTAAAATACAATAGAGCGAAAGCTGCAACAAAATAAATTAGACAATTTTAAAAAAGAAATATAAGAATGGGCGCACCTGGATATAAATAAGCTGTAACCACTTTGGCCACAAGGTCAGCAAATACTGTGGATAATACTTAAATTAAGCCATATAATATGTGTTTCAGATTTCCATAAAAAATATCATTCAACATGTTATGCCCTGTGCGAACCCTGATCCCTGTTCCTTTTAATGCAAAATATAACAAAAATGTTATTTATTTTTATCATTCAGCTCATATTTTTAAACTTCAAAAACATGAAAAACATTATTTTAACATTAGTTGATTGAGTTGAAGAAGCCGCCATTGGAACCTCACACAAACTGAAGCACCTATCTAAAAACCGCTGGAATACACTACTTGAAGCTTAAATAATTTTAAGCATGTTTTATGGCAGTGATAAGTTTCTATATCTAGTAATATAGGCAGTCATTGGGGGTCGTGGACTGTGGGCTGACTATGTGGTGAATAAGTCAAAGGTCGTGTGCAGTCATGCCAGTCATTCCCTAGTAAGGGACTATCCAGATCACGTGATCAGAGTGGGGGTGTGTGCAACTTTGAGGGAGATCAGTCAGCTCCAGCAGCCATTTTTAATTCTCTCAATCTGTATCAATTCAAGCATTTTATCCAGTGATTCTCTCAAAATTCTACGTACACGAACTTTACTTATTGTCTGGGATGTATCATGTATGTTGTGTGTAACGAGGGAGTCTCTCGTATGTACATACGATGAACTTTTGAAGTATTAGTCAGGGGAGTGTTTTACCCCTTCCTTCATCATGGCGCCAAAATCAAATAAACAGAAAACGTCTGGAAGTGCGCTGGATATGACCAACTATCTGAACTGGGGTGTCACCGGATTACGGCATGAACTTTCCGCGATCGGATTAGTTACTTCCACGTCGTTTCCAATCTCTACACTTCGTAAATTGTATGTTGATAATCTACTAACCCGACACGCAAACGAGCGTTCACAGGGTAGTGCGCGTGTCCCGCGATCCAGGATACCTCGCCCAATACCGCAGTTCGCCACCACTCGTTCTTCAAACGAGATCGACATGCAATTTATAGCGGGACCTTTCTCTCTGAATGACGAATCCCGCTCGTACAGCCCGGAAGACAGGGAAGTAAGCGGGGACTATTTTTCACCGCGGAGGGTTAATCGCACACCTTCAGCCACAGGCGCCCGCAGTGCTTCAGCAGACGTGTGTGAGACGGCGGCCTACAACAACAATAACACGCGCAAGGATACAGATGGAGGTAGTTCCGGCTCTTTTTATTTTCAACGTTAGTTATCAAAGGGCAGAAGTATAAGAGCACCTTCACTTATAAAAATTTCAGAATATTGAAGTCAGTATTTGAAATACAGCAATACAGTAACATTCAAACGGGGCTCCGCGAGACAAAAATAATAATAAAATAAACGAGGCTGAAGAGTTTTGCAAGACAAACACACGAAAACAGGGCTGAATAATTCCAGCGATAAATGCATTAAAACGAGACTAGCAGGTTACCTCGCAACAACACGAGATTACTCTCCGTCACAAACTGCCAAGTTTTCAAAAGCTGCAATAGGCTTATCGTTTTCAACAAGCCCGAGTAAGCAAATCAAGCTTACTGTTGAAGGCTGTTGGTCGTGTAGACGTTGAACAAATACGCTGTGACGTCTTCGGAATATGAGAAGTTGTATTTGATAAATCCTTTCGCTTGTTTCATGTGATTCGTGTGAACAGACATACAAGGATGATCGTGTATAGACATTTCGGGAGTTAAAGTGTCAAATGGTTATTGATGGAAAAATTCAGAAAAATAGTAATGCGGTAGTTAGGACACCCAGTAGTATCGATGACACGTGGACATCATTTAATTGTTATTATAAATGCCTATACGTTAGTTTTCATAGATAACAACTGATTTAAGCATTTAAAAAGAAAGTCGGCCTGTCATTCGAGAGGGCCTATACTGATCTATACAGTAATTATCTCTCAATGCAATGTTTCTTCGTTACGCCTTGATGCAATCCAAAAACCAGTCGGACTTGATCTCTTTTAATTACCAATTTTCATCGTTGTAGTAAGAGATTCCCCTGAAGTCCTTCTCTAGTGTCTCCCTCCTCCCCATCTTTTCCGGACTGAGAGTGAAAAGTGAGGGAAACATTTTGGTCAGCATCCTCGTTTGCGGTCCCTACTTCCTGTTTTGTGTCCTTGTCCTCGTCTTTTCGGAACCATCTCTTCCTGATGACGTGAACGATTATTGCTATGACGACGGGAATGGGCGTGAAGAGTGAGCAGTTGACCGGGGCGACGATGGCGATGTCCGAGTCTGGATGAGGGAGAGATAACTGTAGTAATACTATGGCCACTCCAGAGTTCTGTATCCCTGTTTCTATAGCGATTGTCAAAATATCACTTTTGTTGCGTCTTGTCAGTAACGCCACAATGCCGCCGAACAGGAACCCTACGTAAGGCAACAGAGCACCCGCAAGGAGATTAAATGGCGTCATCAGTCTGAATATGTAGAGGTTTGCGTAGATCCCAATTGTGAAGACGAGGATGAAGAAAATCACAATAACTCCGCGGAGAAGTCTGAGGAGTAATTTGGCGACCTTCGGTAGCTTTTTCTGTATTATGATGCCAATACCGACCGGGATGATGAGACCGACGAGTGAAACGAAGATATTGACGAAAGGGATGGTGACGGTCTCCGTCCGGTAGATGACATGGATACCGAGGGTGAACAGCCATAGCGGGATGAAGGCTGCAACAGATATACAAAAATATAACTCGTTGTTCATCATCCTTTTGAATGAAGGTTCCAATGCAGTTAAAAATGAAATAGGCTACCAGTATCAGTATATATGTATAATCACATTGATACATTTCGACGACATGATATTGCGCTACATGGCAATATCACTACCTAGAGTTGTCGTTCTTCTTACACGTCAATGGTAAGCGCAACGATTAACTGGTGTTAATATGGGACCTTTTGAAGTACTTTGCTGTGTGCCTTAGACATGGTATTTTATTGAGGTAGCACTCTAATGTCGCCATCAGATTCGCGCTATCACAAGGACGTAAATACAACAACAAAATACCGCCCTAGTCCAGCACATAGTACACACATACACGTTTACATGGCAAACATTGCGACACAGTCGAAATCATTTCAAATTTCATGATCGATCATCACCTTTCAAACGGATCGATGATCGACTAATTTCATGTTATATTGCTGAAATTGAATGCCTTCATTTTGTTTGTGTTTAATTTAATTCACATACGATGTATTTATGTATGAGTTTATTCTGAAAATCATAAATTGTACACACTGGGTAGTTTATTTTGTTTACCTATGTGTGATTTCATGATAGAAACACTGTGGCCAATAATATGTAAACAGACGGACAATGAAACTAAAAGATGAAGGAAGCAGCCCCCTTGTTTGTAACGGTAAATATAACCTATTAAAAATATTCACTTTAACTTTTTAAATATATACCTTATTTTTTATCAATAAAGCAGGCATAAATATAAAAACAACTAATACAGTATTCAAATAGGAAAAACCGGAAAATGTTTTGAATAAAATAAAATATAAAAAGATAAATGTTGTTTAACGTCCTTTTAAAAGCTAAGACTTGTTCAGGACGTGAGTCCTAATGAGTTATGTATGCGTGCTGGAGGCGGTGTAATGGTGCACAAACATGTATTTGCCTCCTTGCCATAGTGCGGATCTGATGCCAAAATTGAGTGTTACCTCAATGAAATACCATACCGATGGCAGCCACAACAGTATGTCATCGATCACATTATACTGACAGGACGTTAAACAACATAAAACCAAAACCGACGGGTTAATAACTTAATGCAATTACCAAAAATGCTGAACGTTTAACATGGAATCACATATACCATTTTTAAGAATTTGACATGTCCCGATTTGAGAACAGCACCCACTGCCTTTCTCACTTGGGCAAACTTTCAACAGTAGGCAAAAAAGGGTTTTGTTAAAACAAGGCACTAGAAAACAAACAGATTGTTAGGAAGTAGAGAGAAAATACATGTATAAAGATCCCAAATGTTGCAATGGGGTCAGCAGGTCAATTTTCGTTTCAGTCAATTTCGGTTTTTCAATGTCCCCTTAGAAGAAAACACAAAAGAAAAACCTCGATTCTGCAGGTGCCTCAAATAAGTCGCGTTTTACGATACGACACGTTTTACGACACGACACGTCTAATCTTTATTCAAGAAAGTTTGTAAACTTGACAATTATCGAAAACAAATTTTCAAACACCAACAACTTTTGTGTCAAGGGACGGCTTATAATCATTGGCAATTGAAATCAATTTCTTAATTCCTTTGTAAAACGAGGCGACGTCGACAAGGTCGTTGTGCACTGTAAGGAACGATAACTCTTTGACGAGATTGACAAAAGAGAGATAAATCTGCGTCAACGGTATAAGACATGACTATTCATTTTAAGTTGTCAAAATTATCTATAGTTATCGAACAGACAGAGCTCATAATGCGTCATTATAACTAGCTACAGTTAAATGTCAGAGAGGTGCCGAGTGGTACACTTGTCAAATAAAATCGTGCGAAGTCCGCACCATGCTGACGAGACACGTATTAATTTGTCGGTCCCTGTTAAGGCTTTCTGACAGCGCCCCCGGACATACATCCTTTACGATGACAGCGCACATTGCGGATATATTACACACACATTGTACACACATATTCGCCTACATTTCAATGTGTTGACAACATTTTGTTATCAACAACATCCGTTAGACGGAACATTTGATACACATACATAATTCTTAAGAATGAAAGGAACCTTGATCCTTTAAAACGTGAACTATCACTGGGTTTTTCCGAAAGTTTCCTTTTATCACCTTATGCTGCCAGCAACATCCGGAACACGTCATACCTCAGATAAACAAACGATTATTATGTGTTATTTTTTGTCACATATATACATACGGTTTTTGAACCCGTGTATTTTTCCAGAAAGGATTATTTTGGGTACATTGTATCTATGTTTATAGGTTAAACTTATGTTGGATAGCGGTCTATCGTTGACATTTTGAAACAAAATTAACTTTCGTTTTGACAATTATACTGACATTAATGTTCAGTGAATTTACGTTCCCACATTTTCACAGCTCTACAAATGCCACCAGTAAAATGATATACGTGTAAACCGACAAATAGCTCCCTGTTGCCAGAGGTACAGACGAGGCGTTGTGTCCATCATCACCGCCTGGTGGACAAGTGGCGTGTTTTCAAATGTTACCCTTAAGAACAGAAATACGATCCACACAGGAGCACGTGCTTGTGTGACACATCCAATGCGTACGTGCATCTCCGGCCCGAGTGTTTGACCTCCGGCCCGAGTGTTTGACCTTACCGTCATACAAATGTATTTCGTCTGGTATTACCTACCCAGAATTCCGAAGGGCTTTTCACAAACGCCTCATTCCGAAGGCCCAGCAGTTTGATGACTCGATAATCCGGTGGCCCGGTATAAGAAACGAGTATATTTAAGACAATATTCGGAATAGGCCTTCTGACATCATGGCCTATAAAATACTTATAGACTTATTGTTTAATTGATAGTGAGTCTATTTTGTTGAGCTTTCAGAGTATCGTGTCTTCGGACTAATGACCTATGGAATACGGGGCCATCGGAATACTGAATACTCTGCGTGACACTCTACCACTATAGACAACAGGCACTGCTTTACAAAGCATTCACGGAATGAAACGAGTTTGTCCTATATGATCCGGAACCCCCCTGGTCCTATTAACCAGTGAAACAGGATGTTCTACACTTACCAACTAACACAACTGTCATCATCAGGTTACCTAGTGATTCGATGGTGCTTACTTAGATCCAATGACGCGATAATGATCAGTTACTCACTTACCCTGTAACGCGATGATGTTCATTATCCCAGTAACGCGATAGTGTTCATTAACCTAGTAAAGCGATGGTGTTCATTATCATAGTAACGCGATGGTGTTCATTATCCCAGTAAAGCGATGGTGTTCATTATCCTAGTAACGCAATGGTGTTCATTATCCCAGTAAAGCGATGGTGTTCATTAACCTAGTAACGTAATGGTTATCCGTTATCCCAGTAAAGCGATGGTGTTCATTATCCTAGTAACGCGATGGTGTTCATTATCCCAGTAACGCGATGGTGTGAATTAGCCCAGTATCGCGATGGTGTTCATAAGCCCAGTAACGCGATGGTGTTCATTAACCAAGTAACGCGATAGTGTCCATAACCAAGTAACTCGATGGTGTTTGTTTTCCCAGTAACGCGATGGTATTCATTAACCCAGTAACGCGATTGTATTCATTTTACCAGTAACGGGATGGTATTCATTATCCCAATAACGCGATGTTGTCCATAACCCAGTAACGCGATGGGGTTCATTTACCCAGTAACGCGATGGTCTTAAATTTCCAGTAACGCCATGGTGTTCATTTAGCAAGTAACGTGATAGTGTCAATTTGCCTAGTAACGCGACGGTGTTCATTTAGCAAGTAACGCGATGGTTTTCATTTAGCAAGTAACGCAACGGTGTTCATTTAGCAAGTAACGGGACGGTGTTCATTTAGCAAGTAACGCGACAGTGTTACCCAGTAACGCCAGTAACGCGATTGTTTCGCACGCGTACCAATTAATGGACGGTGTCTACTTATCCAATGATGAGACGTGTCTATTTACCAAGTGATTAAACGTGTATATTTACTCAGTGATGAGACTTGTCTATTTACCCAGCGATGAGACGTGTCTGTTTACCCAGTGATGAGACGTGTCTACTTTCCTGGTGATGAGTCGTGTCTGTTTACCCAGTGATGAGAAGTGTCTACTTACCCGGTGATGAGTCGTGTCTACTTACCCAGTGATGAGACGTGTCTGTTTACCCAGTGATGAGACGTGTCTACTTTCCTGGTGATGAGTCGTGTCTGTTTACCCAGTGATGAGAAGTGTCTACTAACCCGGTGATGAGTCGTGTCTACTTACCCAGTGATGAGACATATCTATTAACCCAGTGATGAGACGTGTCTATTTACCCAGCGATGAGACGTGTCTACCCAGTGATGAGACGTGTCTACTTTCCTGGTGATGAGTCGGGTCTGTTTACCCAGTGATGAGAAGTGTCTACTTACCCGGTGATGAGTCGTGTCTACTTACCCAGTGATGAGACGTGTCTATTTACCCAGTGATGAGACGTGTCTATTTACCCAGTGATGAGACGTGTCTGTTTAGCAAATGATGAGACGTGTCTACTTACCTGGTGATGAGTCGTGTATACTTACCCAGTGATGAGACGTGTATATTAACCCAGTGACGGGACGTGTCTATTTACCCAGTGATGAGACGTGTCTATTTACCCAGTGATGAGACGTGTCTACTTGACCAGTGACGAGACGTGTCTATTTACCCAGTGCCGTGACGTGTCTATTAACCCAGTAATGAGACGTGTCTATTTACCCAGTGATGAGACGTGTCCACTTACCTAGTGATGAGACGTATCTACTTACCCAGTGATGAGACGTGTCTACCTACCCAGTGATGAGACGTGTCTATTAACACAGTGATGAGACGTGTCTATTTACCCGGTGATCAGACGTGTCTACTTCCCAAGTGATGAGACGTGTCTACTTACCCAGTGCCGTGACGTGTCTGTTTACCCAGTAATGAGACGTGTCTATTTACCCAGTGGTGAGACGTGTCCACTTACCTAGTGATGAGACGTGTCTACTTACCCAGTGATGAGACGTGTCTATTTACACAGTGATCAGACGTGTCTACTTACCCAGTGACGAGACGTGTCTATTAACACAGTGACGAGACGTGTTTTATTTATCCGGAGATGAGACGTGTCCCTTACCTAGTGATGAGACGTGTATATTTACCGAGTGATGAGCCGTGTCTACTTACCCAGTGATGAGACGTGTCTATTTACCCAGTGATGAGAAGTTTCTACTTACCCAGTGATGAGACGTGTCTACTTGACCAGCGACGAGACGTGTCTATTTACCCAGTGGTGAGACGTGTCTATTTACCAAGTGATGAGACGTGTCTATTCACCCAGTGATGAGACGTATTTACTTACCCAATGATGCGATGGTGCTCACTAAAGTCATAGTGACACTGAGCGAAACGTTGCCGTCAAGGAAATATGTGTAGAAGTTGCTGGCCGCTCCCCCTGGGGAACACCCCATGGCAAATAGCCCGAACGCCATCGGCGGGGTCAGCTGTAGGAGGTACCCCACCGTGAACGATATCTGGGGAGAAAACCCGATTATTATGACATCGATACAAAATAAAACAATAATATTTTTAGATTCAAGCGAGTCAGAAAAGAATCACTTTGTTGAGGAAATGCTTCGGCTTCAAGTACCACATCAGCATACATTACAAGTTAACCTAATGAATTATATAACTAGACACATGTTTTACCCATTTAATTAGACAACGAAACACAAATTTACCTATTTATTTAATAAGAACAAAAGTTTACCGAGCAAATTAGAACAAGAGGCCAAATGGGCCTGAATCGCTCACCTGGTATTAATCTCACACTTGTAATCTTAAAAGTGGACTAAAATACAGCTAGAATATCAGTGTTTGATTCATAAGAACCTATTAAAAGATTTAAACATATGACGCCTGTGCTCTTGAATGTCGAACAAGGACATTAGGTTGAACAGAGTTTGAAGTCTTCCAACCCAGAATGCTTTTGGCAAAATATCATAACCATGTACCTATTGGTTATACTGAACAAGTCATTTAAAAATTTAAACATATTTGACCCCTGTGACCTTGAATATATGTAAAGGTCATTAATTTGAACAAACTTGATAGCCCTTTATCCCAGCATGCTACTGGCCAAATATCATTATCCTATGCCTCTTGGTTATTCAGAAGAAGTTGTATAAAAGTTTTAAACATATTTGACCCCAGTGACCTTGAATATTAGTAAAGATCATTCATTTGAATAAACTTGGTTTGCCCTTTATCCCAGCATGCTACTGGCCAAATAGCATCATCCTTAGACTTTCGGTTATTGAGAAGAAGTTGTTTAAAGATTGTTAAGACAATTGACCCATGTGACCTTGAAAATGGACGAAGGTCATTCATTTGAACAAACTTGGTTGCCCTTAACCACAGCATGCTACTGGCCAAATATCGTAACCCTATGCCTCTTAGTTATTCAAAAGAAGTTGTTTAAAGGTTTTTAACATTTTTACCCCTGTGACCTTGAATATAAGTCCAGGTCATTCATTTGAACAAACTTGGTATACCTTCATCCCAGCATGCTACTGGCCAAATATCATTATCCTAAGTCTCTTGGTTATTAAGAAGAAGTTGTTTTAAGTAAAATATTGACGCCGGACGCCGGACGCCGGCCGACGGACGCTGCACCATGGCATAAGCTCACTTGGCCCCTCGGGCCAGGTGAGCTAAAAAAAACATAGACATTAAGTTATAGCCAGACCAAATTTAACCGAATTGATCAGATAACCAGACCAAACTTTACCGAATTGATCAGATAACCAGACACAAAATGTATTGGGAGATGGGAGAGCCGGGGAGAGACAGAGGTTCAGCTAAGAACGTTAATAGAATTAATTACGATTAAAAATACATTTACTACGGGTTTAAAAACGAACATAATTTAAAGGAAACTATCAGGTAATTGAGTCATAATTTGAGAGAAATTATTGGTCATCTATCAGGGATCACTGATCTGTTGTATCAATAGCTAACGGCTACTAATTAACTCTGGTCAAAGCCCCCGAGCTTGTTGACCGATGAACCAGCGGTCATGTTTTTAAAAGCCTTCTTAAATATTAGTGAAATATTTTGTATCCATATATTAATGTATTTTAATAATGTTATAAGTGAACTGCAGATGAGACGATCTTAAACAATCGCCATCAATCAACCAGAACAAGCCAGTAATATAATGAAGCTATCAATACTTCTACTTGTTGTGGGATGTATATCCGGAATCACTGGACCGAGACTTTGAGAAAGTCAGCGGCTAGGAACCTTCGTCTATGTTAAAATCTAGGTTTTTATTTCAAAGGTATACATATCTTATGTATATATACTGTATACCCTGTCTTACAAATTGTAACAGGGTGTTAGAGAAAGTTGGATGATTTTGATAACCGTGTTTTTTATATTAATTACATTTCTTTGCGTAAGCCTTACATTTTATATATATACAAGTTTCTTTTACGTCAATTACTTGGCAAACATACAAAGGGCTCGTATTTTGAGGAAAAAAAATATGCCGACAGAATAAGATAGTCCGTTGTATAACAAAAACAGTAAATACAGTAAATAATAATTAACTTAGAGAGATTTGCAGCAATGCATGACACGATGCTATCTTACTGCTCTCTCGTCACACCCTTGATCGACTCTGTTTCACTTTGGCCGCGGACCAATCTACCTCCTTCCCCCGCATTTCCTAGTAAAACTGTAATATACCTCCGTTTCAACACTATCTGTTGTATTGACACGTACATATGTAATTTCCCTTTCTTTTGAATAGGTCTATAGTCACATGCTGATGAGTCAATAGATTCCTAGAACATGACTGAATTATGTATACATGATTCAGTTACTGTACCTTCCTCTTCATAACAGGTATACGTATATACTATAAGTACCTATTAACTTTTTATTGATGATGTGACAGACTTGATGTACCATAGAGCGCGCTATAGGAGCCATGGGATATCCACAGGCACTAGCCCCGTCTGTCAATACACAAATCATAATCCTTGATTATCCTTGATTATATTATAGGTGTATTGACAGACGAGGCTAGTATCTGTGGGATATCTACTAACACTCTTCACTATTGACTTCTAATGTATACAATCAATATTACAATCATTACGTGTCTATGACTGGATCACAGGTTCATTACAAATGTCTAAAATACATATAATATATTCTAGTATAGGTTACAGCACACCCAAGCATTACCAATATAGCATATATATATATATTAGACATTTGTAACGAGCCCTTGTAGCTGTCTATATAACCTCTCAGAAAAGTAATAGATCTAACCTTACCAGTGGCATGAGGATGAACTGGGATGCAAGGCCGGTCAGCGGTGCGATGGGTGTCCGGAGAGTTTCCTTGACCACCTGGACATCTGTTTTGCATCCCATGGCAATATTGGCTACACAAACCAGCACAATCACTGACCCCTGGAAAATTTTATTGAGTACACCCTCCTGTTTTTTCACCACGACGTCTAAATCCACCGGCAACTCATACCACGAGTTGCCTCCCTTAGTCTGCGTCGACGATACGGTTCCATTGAGGTTTCTGTTTACCTGAAATGTCACGGAAGCACGTCCGAGAAATACCCCCCTAACCGTAACATTAGGTGTCACCGACAGCCCTCCGCCAACACTGTGGTTTATGTCGCCGATCACGTCTACCACTTTAGTGTCTGTCGATGTTGTAAAAATACTGGCACTTTTGGTACTGAACACAGTGAAGTTGTACGTGATAATCTGTTCCTCTCCCTCGGATAACAACAGACTCCCGTCTCCGTGTGGCTCTTCAAATTCAAGTCCCCAGTCTTGTCCATTGACACACTGCAGCAGAAAGCCTGCCATGAATATCATAGAATTCATACTGACACACAGGAAACCTGTAAACTAGCCATTTGATGCCGCAACACTCAGTGACCTGGATTTCCAGTGAAGGTCGCTTCCACACACGTGTGTACGTAGCGTGAAGTCGCACGTAAACAAAACATGTAGGAGACATGCATGCAAGTGGCACTCGGAAGTCATCGGGGGCCTCCATTGATGAATCATGCCGCGAATAAGACACGTGATAAATATAAATAACTAATTTTGTATCCTTTAACATGAATGCAAATCTGGTTCTGTATTTACTGAGTACTAAATAGTATAAACTGACACTTGAATGCATGCAGTTAATGAATTGGTGTATGATCATTAAAATGACAACTCACTAGGCTGACATTATACACATATATACATGTACTGAGAATAGGGTTAACTCTCGTTAATGAAACGCTTTAATTGTGATAGTAACATACTATTTACATATGGTAGTGCTTCAAGATACAGTTGCCTCAAATTAACAAGCCAAACTCAGTTCTCAATTAACATTCCTATAATAATGAAAATTAAATTGACTGATGTAAATATGTATGTTGTTATTTATCTTCATTTTTGTATGTTTGCCTCACAACAGAAACGTATACGTCTCTGCTCACAAGTAACATTTATTATTCCCAGCCCCTACTCAACGAAGTTTGCAGAGGATGAATAAATGGATTCGGTCTCGCCCTCCATTCCCATTAAGAAAAAGTGTTGGGTCCATTTCTGGGTACATCTAGGTAATACATGCATAATGATGGCATTACTGACACAGCTATAGGGACACTAATTAATGTGTGTAGATGCTGAATTTGACTTACATTTTAGACTCCAGTGACTTCCTTCTACATTGTTCATCAGTGCACATCAAGAAAAGTCCATATCTCAGTAACAAAAACTATTATAAGGGTAAAACTTAAATTAATGATGCAGGCAGGGTTGCTCTCCTGAGTGCATGCATGCATGGTGAGGATGCTTAAGATGACCTTTCATTAAACACTTCAGTGCCTTTCTTTTATTTTAAATATAAATGTAACGGGAAAGAGAATAGTGTGCTTCTACCGGGGATCAAACCCTTGATCTCCAGGTTGCTAGTTGGACACTCTACCACTGAGCTAAAGGGAAATTCCCTCTAGCTCGAAGCTAGGAGGCGACCTTAATCCTATGTACAATTGAACCCTGCCACATAAATAAACTTTAACCCTAAAAGGGAATTGCATATCTGGGTAATTGTAAATGCTGCATAAATGTTCAGTGTTGCAAACTAAATATATTTGTCATTATATTAGAGCAATTAAAGGTTATTTATTTGATTTGAATTATTCTGTTAGAAATATATAACCATTCACAATTGTATAATTTACCACAGAATTAAGTCTGTGAATTTACTAAATTTTGACATGGACTTGTCTATGAAGCAGTGGATATTGATGACAGCACGTTTTTGTTGGGTTTGAAAGTATGTATGATTTTGTTTCAATTGAACATTCTTATCAAAAACTCCTGTTTCATTGGTATGGACAAAAACACATAATGGTTTACTCTGATTGACTCTAAAAATAACTTGTTAGGTGGAGGAAGTTGGTTCATATTCTTCTCTTATCTGTGACCTATGGTAATCTTGCCCCAAAAGCCACTTCAAACTCTTTTCCAAACTTAAGCTAAAACGTATATATAAGAATAAGACATGCACAGTACAGGTGATAACGAATTAATTGTAATTTGGGTGGTGGTGGGGTGATATTGTCATATAGGGGGTAAGAGATTGTTAAGTTACTGCAACATTTAACCTACATAGATGTATGAATACATTATCTTATGATACAATTCCTTTTGCTTATTTTTTTCACTTTTGTTTTTAAATGTGTGTATTGGAGTGGGGAAGAAAAGCTCTACGCTCTGTCAATATTAGACTCGCATTTAGTTTACGTGATTATTTTCTGGACTTGAGCAAGTCTAATTGTTCTTCTTGTGCAGGCTCTTAAAATGTTTCTCGCACTGTCCCAGTCTACATCAATATTGACGGCGTCATTAATATGTTCTTGAACATATATTTAATTTATGCAGTAATGAATATAAGAACCTTACCGGATGCGGTTGGGGAGCGGTCCGTGTATATTTAAGACGATCGCAGCGCAGCATGTCGTCATAATGGGTAAACCTCTCGTATTTCAACTGCTGGCTTACTCGTTTACTAGTTGACTAGCTAGCTATTTCTGAATTAAAAGTTTGTTTCGAATTTCTGTTTTTTCAAAAATGACGAAAGCTTCAGATCTACGGAGTATATACATCACGTAAGTCTGGAATGGATTGAATACTACAAGCTAACACGAAATCGCGATCGGTAAAACTAGCATAGAATGGAATGAAAACTAGCATAGCATGGAATGAAAACTAGCAAAGCATGGAACGGACACGCAATAGATTTGTAAACGAGTACAACAACATAAATGTACATAGAATGGAAAAAGACACTTATCAACTAGGGAATTAATACAAAGGAACATAGAATTAGATTCCAAACCAGAAGTAACTAATTCTATAACTTATCAACTAGGGAAATAATACAAATGTACATAGAATTAGATTCACAACCAGAAGTAACTAATTATATAACTTATCAACTAGGGAAATAATACAAATGAACATAGAATTAGATGCAAACCAGAAGTAACTAATTCTAAAAAAAATTATTATGGCGGTGATCCTCTTCCATACTCCTTTGTCTTCTGGTTAAGAGCTAAGGACACTGATCAGCACTTAAACGTCAAGCACAAACTTACCTTACTTTGTACCTGTCTAACAGTGGTAATATGTCTTCATTTACATTTGCTCTGCATCCTTCCATTGCAATGCATTGAGAAGGCAAATGTTGTTGTGAGACTATAACACAATTTGCTATTATAACGTCATCAATCTCTATTGTAACGCCATCAATTTCAGTGTTTTCAAGACTTAATTTGCTGTTCAAAGAACTGTTCGGAATAACTAAATAAAGCGTAACTACTTACATAAAACCCTGTCAGGCTTTATTAAGTTTGTCATCAATAGCAATGTGTGTTATATAAAGTACCCTAACAACATTTGCTAAAACATTCATTGCTTCATTGCTTCAAGAGAAGATAACTCTGCAATACGCAAAGACGGAATACTGGCATTCATATGATTTATATTTTAACAGATAAAGTTTTGTATGCCTTACTAAACATATTTACCAGCACAAAGCCTTGACATATTGTATGCACTTCATTACATATGTGCACATAAAATTTGTATTTTATAGAACTAGCTTCACTCACTTTTAATTAAAACACAAAAACAAATTCACACAGGTTTTGTAACTTAAAGTGAAAAAAACACCTTTTGACACGATAAGTTGTCGATGTGTTATGTTAAACATTTTGAAGTAAGTTGTTTTAATGAATTTTCTGATCATGCTCCAATATTTGTTTCATTAAACTGTCACAAGTGTGGTCTGTTGAAGCAAAAGACAACAGATATATATTTGACAATAGAATTTGGATTGAGAGCTCTGTCGATCAGCTAATTAACACAAAAGAAAGTATTGATGAGTGTTTGGAAAATTTTGTAAAATGTACACGTACTTTGTTTGACAAGTTTTGCTTACGCAAGCGAAAAGTATTGAATTGTTCATGTACCTGTCATTATGTAAATGTCACTCAGAGAGAACCAGATAAACCATGGTTCGATATTAACTGTAACAGATTATATAACAATTATAAAATTGCTTTATCCATTTTTAATAGAGACCGATCATTGGTTAACAGGGCAAGTCTCTCTGAGGCTAAAAAACGCTATAAAGTTTGTGAAGTGAAGTTAAAGCGCGCCTATTTACGAACGGAAGGAAATATTATTGACGTGTTAAAACGTAATAATCCAAAAGAATTTTATCGAAATTTTTCTAAACGGGAGGTATTTGGCACTGGTGATTTATTAATAATGATTTTTTTCAATATTTTAAAGATCTCGCTGGGGAACCATACTCTTCGGATCATGATAATAGCTTGAATGGTAGAAAACCGATTGTGTGTTTCCTGAACTAGATCTGGATTTTAGGCTTGATGAAATACTTGTTGTAATTAAGAGTCTGTCTAAAGATAAATCAGCAGGTATAGATATGATACTTAATGAATATTTGATTGAATATAAAGTTCTGCTTAAGTTGGTTAATAATATGTTGAAAGTAGGATATTTCCCTCAAGCTTGGGCACGGGGTGTAATCATTCCTTTATATAAAAAAGGAAATAAAAACAATGTTAATAATTATAGGGGAATTACCCTTATTAGTCATGTAGCTAAATTATTTACTAGTCTATTAAATAAAAGATTGCTAAAATGGAGCGAATCGGAGTTTGTGGTTACAGATGCCCAATTTGGGTTTAAGCCTGGTCTTGGTACACTTTACAACAAAATAAAAGGCTTTATTGTGCATTTGTTGATTATAGTAAAGCTTTTGATTGTGTTACTCATGACAAACTTTGGCTTAAAATATGGAGAAGTGGAATTAGGGGTAGATTGCTGAATGTAATTTAGTCAATTTATGAAAATGTAAAATCTTGTACAAAATTAAGCGGGAAATTTTCTGCTATGTTCGATATACATGTAGGACTTTTACAAGGGGAGGCTTTATTGCCCATGCCGTTTTCTTTATTTGTTAATGATATGTAAAGCGTTCTTATTAATTCTAATTGCCAGAGTTACCAATTACAACTATTAAATCTATTTCTTATACTGTATGCTGATGACACAGTTTAATTTTCAGAAGATATTAGCGATCTTCAAAATATGTTAGATTGTTTGCAAGATTATATTGAAAAATGGAGCTTAACGGTTAACAGTGAAAAAGCAAACGGATATTACCTAATGAAAGTTGGAAATTTAATGAAAGGACTATAGAGGTCGTAGATCAGTTTTGTTATTTAGGATAAGTCTTTAATTATAACGGAAGGTTTACAGTGGCTAAGAATACTTTAGCATCTCAAGGAAGGAAAACTTATTATCTTTTGATGAATAGAATAAAGGATTATATGCTAAATATTGAAACTAAGATATCACTATTTGACACTTATGTAACATGTATACTTAATTATGGTTGTGAGGTGTGGGGTCATTATCCAGCACCAAAAATTGAAAATGTTCACCTTCTTTTTTTCTGAAAGAAGTATTGAATGTAAAGAAAACCGTTAATAGTTCTATGGTGTATTTTGAAACGGGGAGATATTCATTACAGGTACAGCGTAAAATTACAATCATATAATATTGGTTAAAATTGATAAAAACTAACTATTGTGTTTTAAAATCATGTTATGATGCTTTATTTGAGTTACATATCAGAAAGCCAAATTGTAAATTAAACTGGATTTATCAAGTTGAAAATGATTTATTTAGAATTGGTTTTAACTTTTAACCATATTTGGATTGCTCAAAATGCGCAAAATGAAAGGCAGTTTTGGAATTGTAGTCTCAACGCTTGCAGGATATATTCATTCAACAATCATTGAGTAAATATTGCATGCAAGCACACTGTCTTAATATTGAGTCAGGACGTTACAATGCCGTCCAGAGAGGCCAAATAATATGTAATGTCTGTAACAAAAATGATGTAGAAGATGAGATACATTTTATACTTCTTTGTCCAGCTTAATCTGAGTTAAGAAATACATATTTAAAACAATATTTTGATCATCGACATCCTAGTGTCTATAAATTGATTGAATTATTTTCATGTAAAATGTCAAAACTTTAAGTAAACTTGGTAAAAATCTATATGTTAAATGTGAACCATGAATTATCCTCCGCCATCTTGTATATTGTACTTTATTATGAACCATGTGTGATGTAACTGTATAACCTATATATATGCTGTATTGCATTTGGTAAATACAAAACTTGAAACTTGGGAAACACAATAGTTTTTAAACAAACTTTTATTGTTTTATATAAAATTGTAATATAACATAATATCTCCGACAATGTATTTGTTAATATGAACTTACACCTGTATATGAACAAATTGGTAATGTATGGTTCTTTTATGTAACATCACATCAGGCTTCACCTGGATAAGCCTCTATAAAGACCGTCACCTGACCTTGCGTGGATCAGTTACTTAGAGATAAATTACGACAGTAGATAAAATAAACATAAACGTTACCCTTAAGCCAGCTTTTTGGCTTAGCCCCTCATGACAGACTTAAAAGCTCATGTCACTTCCGTATATAAGAACCCCTCATGTCACATCCATACTTGAAAACAATTGGTTTTCAAATGCGGATGTGTTATAAGGGTGAAGGGCAACACTCTCTGAAGAAGGGCTAAGTCCGACAGCTTGGATCAAAAGTGACCGTTGATAAACTTTGTGATAGACATTAAGTCGATAAGACTTATATAATACACTTGAAAGGTTGTCAAATATGTAATTATAATTATTTTCCTTATCTCAAAAGGGAAGAGAAAGAATATGTTCTCAAATTTGACTTTTGGGGGATATTTTTCTGTTCCTGTAATACAGATAGCTATTGTGATAAAGTATAAATAAATGTTCAAAAACAGACTGGACAACATTAGCACATAAAATATATAGAATATAAAATAAACATAGGTAGTGTTCATTTGTTTCTGAATAACAAATAAAAATGTATAAACATGAAATATATCATACTCTGGACAAATTATCCTGGTTTTGTTTACAATATGACTGATTAAATTTAACCTTTCGCCACCCTATTGTCACGACATGAGGAGACATTGTTGATTTGTGATCGCCGTGGTAAACCAACAGTGTACATGTCTCCCACTCATACTGACAGGTTCACACACAGCTCACAACGATTTGTGTAGTTCAACACTTATTCACATACGTCTATCGCTCGGACATGTGTGTACACATAGCCTGGACGTACCTGAATGAATTATCGAGCACGTGTGCATACATTTGTAAATCGCTACACATGTGTAAACACAGTCACATTTGTACAGTGTTAAAAGCTCATACATATGTGCAACCTGACACTTGAACAGCCATTATAGCAAGTCAACTTAATATATATATTTAATAGCCACAGAAAGACCGTCAAAGTGTTAGATATATCTTTAAATGAACTAAGCTACAGTGTTTCTTTCATTTTAGTAGAAATATCTTTAAATGAATTGAAGCTATCTCAAAATGGAATAAAAAAGATCTTTAAAGAATTAAATAGAGCTAGGTTTTAATAAATTCAAGATTTTTTTATTGGAATTCATGATATCTTTACACGTGATGTACCTATGTTATGTAGGTAGGATTAAATATGTGATATTTGTTTTGCTAGATTTCTCCTGAATTAGTAAAGATGATATTTCTGTTTTGTTTTTAAGATTTCTCCTAAATTAATAGAGATATCTCTGTTAGGTATAACTATTACATGTTAAGCTGGCTTGCCATAAGTCGACCATTTGTCAGGGAAAAGTCGGCATGTTTTAGAAACAGTTGGCCTTCTTCCTTTGTACACCTCGGGGTTCGCAATGAACGGATTGCTTTCCCTCTTGTTTTTGCACTCTTGGTGTCATAAACTAATCACGTGACACAAAATTTGATATATTTATATAGTGAATATACAAAGCAAATGTAAAAATAGGTAAACATTTGTCTCCACTCCGTATGAGTATCATTCTCTCACAGACAACTGAGCCCGTATTCACGAAACAGTTCTCATTATCACGTTTTGATTCTGTACTCAAACCAAATTTCTTGTAACTCGCTTAATCCATGTCAAACGATCAAAAAGTCAACTGTAAACATTGCAAAATGCATTTTGCTTTAAATTTCTTCAAACTTTTCCCGAATCATTGACAAAATAAGATTTGTTTATTAAATTATAATCAGAACAAGAAATTAGGCTTGAGGACAAAATCCATGCTTGAGCACGATAACGATTTCGTGAATACAGGCCCTGAGTTCTGGTATTAATTGGCTTCATTCGAGTATATCCGTTGTATGGAACCTAACAATGAAAACACTAGCCATGCTAGACAGCATGGTGTTTTCTACGGTATGGTAGTTAATGAATTGGTCAATCCCCACAGACCGGTGAAAGTAACACAGCTTCAAATTGTGTGTCTCTTTGTTAACCAGTTCGTAAACTGTTATATTGCTAAATGACATGTCTGGTATAATGTTTACTGGAAACCATATAGAAGGTTTTCATAATAAGTACAGACTATTGGCAGCACGAAGACTACTTAGAGGTAAAAATCCGTAACCCATCATATTTGATTCCTCATTTGAACTGAAACGCTGAAAATCATGATTGGGTCTATTTGATTTAGCGACGCGATAATTTCACAGACTTATAATTCCCGACTAGTTAGACTATCACTCAGAGATTTCATCGATTGATTAATTGATTGACTGATTTATTGATTGACAGGTTTTGTGTTTTATAGTGAGACCAATCCAGTGTTATTTCAAAGTGCTAAAGTAACATTACACAGAAATGTTATCAGAACGCATGGCCATTGATTCTAGCTAACCAGATACGTATGTTGGGAGATAACTACTGAGAAGACAGACAGACAAGCTATGAAACGACTTGATCTGATCCCGTAAGTAAAGCATTTAGTGTTTAAACGTTAAAATTCTCAAATAAATTGATCCTAATCTAAATCTAATCTGAGATTAGTTATAAGAATGTTTATCACTAGCATGGAAACTAAGCCAGTATAGCCACTCAAAACAACGTTCTTTCCCCTAAATAAATCGACATCATTGGACGAGCACATGATCGGATCTAGGGTTAAAATCACCCCGAGCCAGGAGAGAGCTGTCCATTTAAAACAATCTATCAATTTATCATAATTCTGAGTCAATGTCATGTAAGCTCGACATTATAATCACACTACCATGTCCCTATCTTTATAAGAAAATAACTAATGCCAATTTAAGCATAGGATCTTTATAAAAAAAGTATCGGACGTAGTGTCATGTTATGCATAACTAATCGGTGCAATGACTCCTCCATTGCCCATCCTCGATAATCCAGGGGTTGCGCTCTCTGCACCCCTGGAGTATGTGATAGCAAAATTGAAGGCAAGAAGATAGCTGTTTGGTTGGTCTCGGGTAAACACAACTGACCAATGGGTAGGCTGATACCTGTCCTTTGAAGATTACAAAGGAGCGGCACCCGGCTTCAAAGCTTGTCAATGTTTGCCGTTACGTTACCGCGATAATTTTTTGATGTACATCAAATGAACAAGGTGGCCAACACTGAGCCTCCAATTTTGCTATGACATATCCGACGGGTGTAGAGAGCGTAAGTGAGCGTAAGTGAGCATAAGCCCTGGAGAATCGAGGATGCCATAGCCAAGACACACTGGATTGTCGTTTTAGTAAAGATACTTTTGTTCTCGAAAAAGCAAAGAATTTTCTTCTTATTCCAAGGGTTTCCCTTCGCTATGCACCGATGGAATTCCACTGAAACTGAATTTCTAAAAACATCACGAAGAGACATCTTTGCGTTTTTTGTCGGAATATAGAGGTTCCTCAATGAGTGATGGCATTTTTTTCTTACCAAAGTAAATTTTCAAATTGTATTAACACACGGGGTTTACGTCACAATGGAAGGTGACGTCGCAAATCATTGTTACTTGACGTCATAATTAGAAGATTGCCCAATGAAATAACGTCCAGGCTGTAACCCACAAGTGGGTAACCAAAAATGTTGCAACTGCTACTAAGTTTATCCACTAAGTTAGGATTGAAGAAATATACAATGGTTGTGGGAGCAAGTGAGTATTTTTACACGACTACAAAACTAAATGTTCGACACTCTTGCTTTCTCAAGTGATTCTGGAGTGATATTGCCATTGATTTCAAGTTCCAGTTCTTTTGCTTCTTCATCTTTCTGGGTAACTTTCTGATATTTTTCCGGATTGCATTTTTTGTATATAACAAATATAATGGTAATAACAAAAAGTGGAAGTGGCGTCATAACCGCAGAGGCTGCTGGAGCGACTGCCGCTAATTGTCCATCCGGTGGTGGGAAAGCATAGAGCAAAATGATGAAAGCCACACTAGTATTTTGCATACCTGTTTCTATGGCGATCGTCTTGATTTTCACCCAGGGTTGTCTCAGAATAAACGCTATGATGCCTCCTATAACATAACCGAAATAAGGCAGAAGACAGCCAGCTAGAATCACGTTAGGATTAAAAAGTTTGAATATGAACAAGTTTGAATATATCCCAACTGACAGAAGAAGAATAATGGCTACGATGGTTACCGGAGTGACGATCTTCAGGATGAATCTTTTGACCTTAGGAAGTTTGTATTGTACGCCGATTCCAACGAGGAGCGGAATGATGAGAAGGAGAAGAGTAGTGAAGATGTTGAAAAACGGGACATCCAGCTTTTTATTACCGTCTTGGAGGAATTCTTGACCTAACGTGTACATCCATAGTGGAAGAAAACCTGAAAGAAATCGGAAACAAATTAACCCAGACAAACATAAGAGAAGAAGATGCAAGATGCAAAACGATATACGACTTTTCATTTCATGAAGATATATAGTACATGTATAGTATCAGACAAATCAGCCAATCAGAATGTCACAAAAGAAAAAGGTCTTTGGTCACATATCATATGGATATGTTTATGGTTTGTTGGTCTTGTCAGGATTTTACCTCCTGACAAAAGCGAATGTTTTTATTGTCCAACAATAACGAGAGCGCGTACGGGAAATGACGTCATAGGTTGGATTAATAAAGGGCGGTTATCAATAGACGATTTAAAAAACTCAAAAGTGTCAAAAAAAGTTCTGATGTTTTATTGTTGACCCAGTCGTGTGGCGTTTTAAATTGCCGTCATGTTGATCTAGTTTTATCGTGTGATTCTGATATTAATACAGCCAGCTGGTGCTAGTGATGTAATTACACGATCTAAATACGTATAACACACAGTATCACAACGCCAATCAGGCCGTCGTTTTTAACAGTTTAATCAACGGAGAAGAAATTCATTTAAGGACACTTCTCGTGATTCTTTGTAGTTTTCGAAAATCGCTCACTAATACGAGACGATTTAATTGTTCATAGTAGTCTTCGCATACTTTTTTGTGTCTAATACCAAACTTACATACAGCGTATGTTTAACTCAAAAATTATCAATCTCGTAGAACTGTTTTTATGGACACAACATTAATGTTGTGGAGCAAGGACCGGTTCAAAGTTAGAGATAAACATGTCAGGATAAAATAAAAATAAAAGACAGGATTGGTAGACTCTTATTTGTCTTCTTATTTTCGAGCAAAGCCTGGACGGAGAAGAAAAATACGGCAAACAAACACTTGTATGACTTACCTATGGCGGTTATGGTGCTGATAAGAGTCATAGTAATGGATAATGACAGATCACCATCCAGAAGGTGGGAGTATATGTTGCTAGCCCCACCCCCGGGGCAGCAGCCTGCAAGGAAGATTCCCAAAGCCACAGACGGTTGATCGGACGCAACAAGTTTAGCGACGGCATACCCCAGCTGTGAAAAAAAAAAATCCACATCGTTACAAATTTGATGGCCTCTCATTTATCTTTCATTGTACGTCTGTGTTGTGATACCTGTCTTGGAGAGTAAGTGGGAGGTCATTATCTACGACACGCTTTGTATGTCCATTGTGTATAGCCACCAGGTACAGCTGACAGGACTTAAGACACTCTATTATAGCTCTGGGGTGTGATATAGTAAAATGTAGTCCCTGTTACACCTGTATGCCACTGAAATAGGTCAAAGATATAGATACATTGTAGTAGAACTAGGTCGGGTAACTATGATGATGTACAGGCGCTGCTATGCTTTGGGTTGTTTCTAAATCCAAAATGGCAACCCTATCCTCTGATTGCACTGTAGCTCTAACTATCCTTTGAATTACCAATCCAACCAGATCGTTTTTTGAGCTGTACAAATGTCCTGACTAGGTGCTGTTTATTGAATAAAGAGAACTGACTCTTTGAGTCAAGAAGAAACCTGAAAAGGCCACTAATAACATAGCAGAAAACAAACAAAAAACAAGAGAGTGATACAGGTCCTTTGGGCCTCCTGGTTTAGATTTAATAGATAATGCCTGATATACCCCAGATTCAGGAACGTTCTATAACTATAATGAATTCTATAATATTTTCCAAAGGAAAATAGTGCAAGAACTGAAGAATTTTTTCTTTTTTGACATCAACAATGTTTTTCATTCGAAAAATTGACGAGTTCGTGAAATAAGGGCCTGTAATTTTAAGGATCCCTGTACCACTACCTAAACTGTACACATGCTTAAGAAACTGTTTTTACGGCATAACTTTACCTTTGATAAATCATTTCTGAAAAGAAAATCATACGTTGCGGGATTTAATTAAAACAAGAATGAAAATATATTAACAAAGTAACAAAATATAATCACAACAGTGTTATGAATGTAGATTAAAATTATAATTGAGCTAGACCAAATTCAAATCCTGTGCCATTGCTCTTACCGACTGAGCTACCTGAACAACGGAAGTGTTCAAATGTTCTACAGTGTTACTTAAAACGAATTCAATGGAGGTTACTGGTTATACGAAAATAACACAGTACAGTGGGACAGGATTCCTTAAGTATTGATATTGTGTACTGGATATATCTGGTATAACATATATCCAGTATCAACATGCACAAGGTCACTAATATTTGTATTTCTGACAATAGGATCATGACGTCATAATATTGCCTTATCTTTCTTGTCCGAAAATATGCTGGTTATCTAATATCGTATCACTCTCATATACAATAGTGAATATATTCCGTGGTATTTTTTCACACTTATTCCTGATTTCCCAGGTTTGAAAATCAACAAACGAATTCATCATTATGTGGCTATACGGGAAATGGGTAATTTGCCATGGGGTTCTAAGTTTGCCCGATTTTTATAGATTTTAAGCAATTCCTACTTTCTATATGAATGGGTACTTACAAGCGGCATCACTAGGTATTGACATCCCAGACCAACACTAACAGCTATTGGTTTCTTGACCGATTCCTTGACCACCTTTAGGTCCAGTTTACAGCCAAACGCCAGTGTGATGAAGATAAGGAAGAAATACACTATGATCCGAAATGCCAGATCAAGCTTTGACATTTTCCGGTTGATGACGAATGGGAATAATAGTTGATCCGTGTTTCCGTCGTCACTGATGGAATTATTGTCCGGACTTGACCTACGGACAGTAATGACCAAGTTTCTCCGTCCAAGCAGGACTGCGGACAGGTGTAGCCTTATCTTGTCTGATTGGACTAATTCGTAGAGTTGGTCAGCCATTGGAGACAAGCTAGATATTGGTGTGGTTGTAATGGAAGTGTTTTCCATACTGACGAAAGTTTCTGTCGCATTTTCACACGAAATCAGGACCCTGTCCGGAGAGACGACGAAGAACCTATCGGGATCCTGGCTACGAAAAGTGAGCTGAACTTTCTCAGCAACTCTATCACACACAAGTCTGTAGGACATAGACACAGTTTTCACTTCGTCCATAAAGAGAAAAAAATCCATGGGGTTGTCAAAAAAGGCATTGAACCCTTTAGGCGTAGTTGAAGAGGTATCGTTACCTTCAATCCCGACCCCCGGGACGGTATATTCGGGCTCAACCTCTTCACATACACCGATCGCCACGCACACACACATAACCATCAGCTTGTAATCCATGGCTAGACTGAGTACGGCTCGCCACCCGTAAATGTGTTTATACTGTCATAAAGCGTGAACCCGTGAACTTGTTTGTAAACAGGCTTATTCTGAGGGCTTTGTTATATTTCAGGGGTTATTATGTGGGACGTGCCGAGAACCTGTAGACATATATACAATAGATGGTTATCACGGGGACCCAGTTACTTTCCTTCCACCCAATTAATTATTTCTTTATGATCACTGAAAAAATAACGGAGAGTACAATAACAGCATGTGCATAGCTGCTATCCATCCCTTTGTCATTCCAACCTAGTTCAGGGTCACATTGAGGTCAAAGGTAAGATTTGTTGTCCGAGGTATACATTTTGACCACTGAAGATATCGTAATAAAATTTAAGGAACATATTGAGGATGTTAAAGCGGTGAACAGGGTACTACTCTAGGGCTAATACTGCCAAGGTCATGGTCACATTTAGGTCATAAGTCAAATTCATAATCTGAGCCATAACTTCTTAACCTATGAAGTTATCTTAATAAAGTTTAAGGAATAAATGTAGGATGATAATGCGATGTGTCGCATACTACTGTAAGGTCAGTACAAACAAGGACATGGTCACATTGATTTCAAAGGTCAAATTCACTGTCTCGGCCATAAGTTTTGACCAAGGGTAACTCTATGAAATTAAAGGAATACATGTAGGATTGCAAGATGGTCTATTGCGAACCACAATCGAATCTGTACATTAAAGGTTAAGGTCATATTGAGGTCTTAGGTCATAACTTCTTACTGACTGAAGATATCTCAATGCAATATAAGGGATATACATGTATGTAGGATGGCAGGACAGAGTACTGCAAACACTAATTGGGTCCATATCTTCAAGGTCAAAGTCATATTTTGGTCAAAGGTCAAAGGTCAAATTCATTGTGGGGTCATAACTTTAGCTTGCTGAAAATAACTCAATTAAACTTAAGGGAGTATGTAGGATAACAAGGCGGTGTGTGGCAAATACAATCTGTGTCACAAGTCCAATTGAGGTTGACGATCAAATATATTGTCTTGGCCATCATTTCTGAATCGCGCAAGATCACTTTAAAAAATGAATTTTAGAATTAAATGACGGATTGCAAGACAGTGTATCGCAAACCATAATTGGATATGAAGCCAATATGGTCATGATCACAGGAAGTTCAAAAGTTAGATACATTGTCTGGACTATAAAACTTGCTGAAGATAGCTCAATGTGTAATTTCACCACTTTTGGTCTGTACGCCCAAGGTCTAGATCACAGTGAGGTCCCAATTTATTTAAGTCTAATATACCTTTTCAAGGAGCATAATCCATCAATTTTATTGAATTTCTTGTTTCCAAAAAACGAGAATAATTTGTGTCATGATATGTAATGTAATGATAGGCAATTTGTTGAATTAATGTATCTCTTCCTTTTGTTAGGAATTATTGTAAATAAAGTTTGCTTCTAAGACTTAATCCTTAAGAATAAGAAAACAGATAAATTCTGAAATTCTGACTGAAGAACCAAATGAGAGATACAAGCCTTTTGCACTTCATGTTAAAAAATCTGGGATGAAACATCAAGTTTTAGTTATCTTTAAAATTCTTAAGGCTTTCTCATATTGTTGAGTTACAATGACACAGGTATGGTACGTAAGAATGCTCCATTTTAGCACGATTCTAAAAATACATAACTATTAAAACAATCATGACAAAGTCTTCTCATTAAAAGTCTTAATAATGTAGTTATACAAAGACGATCACAGGGAACGGAACAGGCAATCGGAATCTTCATGTTGAGCAACTGTATGTACATGTATTGCTATAGGGTGGTGATCTCAAATTATAGCTGTGATTTGATATTAGAACGGAAAGATGCTTGAACACAGCGCTATCAAGCTTGTTCATAGGGATGACCTTGCCTTGGGGATCAGCCCGATTATATGTACAATTTTGAACCTCAACTACCTAGGGATGATTCAAGTCAAATATAGTTGATATCCATCTCTTTGTTCCAGAGAAGTTATTGCTTAAAGCAATATAGCCAAATTGCCCCCTTATGGCCCTGCCCCTCAAGCCCCTGGGGGGTTAGCCCCACCATTTGTACAATTTTGAATCCCCACCATCTAGGGATACTTCCAAAGAAGTGATTGGAAGAAATTGTTGGCGTATGGACGACGAACGACGAACGACGGACGACGAACGACGGACGGACGCCATGGTATGGCATAAGCTCAAAAAGCACAGGATGATAATATTTTGCAAGTAGTATGCTAGGCTAGAGGGCTACAAAGTCTGCTTAAAAGAATGTTCAAGGGTGAAATGTGTGAAAGATCGGGATCGGAATGAATGAGCTAGACCAGCATGAGAGGATAAATTAACCTATTAGAACAAAGGCTCAGGTGTAGAGTAACAAAATGTTCTGACAAAGCTCTACTATATATACTTAGAGTATTGATTGTCTTTTGAATATCCTGACCTTTGCACAATTTAAATGTTTCGCTCACCTAGTCCTTTCCCTTTCTCCTCCTGTCCTAGTAGAAGGATTTAAACTTTGTCCAAATGCAGCTTTGGGCAAAGAGGATTCAAGTTTGTTTGAACTGAGGGTGTTGCAAGGATTTATATAGTAGGTGGCGGCTAATGGAATTGTGGCTATTAGGTAGAATATTCATGTTTAGGTGGCAATATGAAACAAATACATGGTATAACTTGTAAATATAAATTATTCTTTGGCTTGCGATCTGCCTTACTCTGCCTTACTCCCGGTAACCGCTTTCCAGCGAAGATGCCCTGAGTGTCAATAGCCACGCCGCGCGGCAGTGGCTATTGACACTCGGGTGGTAATAGCGACGGCCATAAAATAAACTTTATTTATTTTACAATAATTATGAAACAGGTTATTTCAACTGTTAGCGCGGGGTCTAATGTGAGAGGAAACCGGAGTACCCGCAGAACTACTTCAGATTAATAATTAATAGAACATTATTAAAGTTTATTGCGACAGATAGCTCTGAGAATCACATGTGCACAAGAAAACGTCGTTATCAGTTTTGTATTGTCTGTATATTGTTTTTCATTCTGCAACTAGCAACTAACGCTTTCGTCTTTGGAAACAGTCAAAGGAAAAAAGTCAATTTCTTTAATACCCATACATTAATAAAAAGTATTAAGACAACAAATCTGTGTAATAAGGAAAAAGATTAAAAGTGAGGAAAGGTAAACTTTATTGCTATTATATATATATATCTATCGAACAGGCGTTTCGGATATTACTAATCTTAAGGAATTATCAACAGTTACGGTCATTGTATAAGGTGACGGATGTGGGACCCGCAGCACCGGAGAGGTTCTCCTTTATCGTCTGGTTAAGAGGACACTGATTAGCACTCAAACGTCACGCACTGACTTACCATACTGTTCACCTGTCTAACAGTTGTAATATGTACGACGTTATTCACTCCGTATAGAGGTTAAGGTGTCAACCAATTATATATTTGTCTGTAAATACAATTGTACATTTAAGATTAGGCTTAGAGGAAATAATATTATGTCTAAACTTGTTTTTCCATATCTCCGAAGTCATATCTATGGCCTGACCACTCTTTTTTAATTTCCTTTCTTTTTAAGAATAAAGACGAAAACATTACTGTATGTATTAAACAGCGCAATACATTAGGTGTCAAATTTGACAAATAGGTATTTTGTTTTTCCATACGATATCTCATAATAAATGTAACGCAATAATAAGATGTAGCACTTCACAGTTGGTAAAAAATATCATTTTTTGTATTTCCTTTCAGCTGCCTGTCATCAGGTTGATTGTCATTTATTTTGATAAAAATGGCCGGATAGAGGTTGAACTAATCCTTGATGGAATGGTAACCATCTCCTCTGTGATTTAATAGACGACCGAGACGTCATATTTTTACCTGAGATTAATCCTAGACCGGATCTTTGATGAGATTGTAGGTGCAACTTCAATGATTCCCTTTGGTCTAAGTGAATTGCTTACTCTGGATCTTGTAACACACATACATGTGTGTCTGAGTAAAGAATGAAATATTGGTACAAAAACGGACTTAAGACTGTTATAAATGAAAACTGAATTGATACATGCAACACCTGACCTGTAAATGGCAGGACTCGATGCTAATTTTTTAATCTTCGCTTTTCCAAGTCTTGCCATAATCTGTATACATTATATATGTGCTCATAAAATTTGTATTTCATAGAACAAGCTTCACTCACTTTTAATTAAAACACAAAAACAAATTCACACAGGTCTTGTAACTTACTGTGGAAAAAAAGTCATTTGACACAATGATTTTTTAAATGTTTTATTAGTTTGTTTAAACATTAAATGTAACATAATATTTCCGACAATGTATTTGTTAATAAAAATGTATACGTGTATATGAAATATTTGTAATATATGTATCTTACATCACACCATGCTTCACCTTTCTCAGCCTCTATAAAGACCGTCACCTGACCTTGCGTGGATCAGATTATATAGAGATGAAATACAAGAGATAAAATAAACATCAAAAGACGACTGTTGAAATATCGCCGGGCATTGTGAGACTTGACAATGTCATTGAAAATGTATGTGGAAAAGAAAAAGAAATAAAATATACTTTTATTACCACAAAAGCAAGACCAATGTCTGCAATATCGTACAAAACGCACATCGGTTGAAATCACTAATGCTGACAATGGAAACAGTTTTAACGCTCATGCAATTTATCAGAAATATCGTTTGTTACACTGCACTGATCAACAGGGGTTCGTTACAAATGTCTGAAATAAACATATTCTATAGACCTACTGATACATATGTTACAGAACCTACTGATATGAGTCACAGTACATAAACATTTCAGACATTTGTAACGAACCCCTGTGCTCCGTCTCAAGATCACTCACTTCAAACGCTATCAGTTTCACGCGTCTCGCAGCCACGGTATCCTCAGTTTCTGACGACATGTCAAATAACGAGGTTGTTATAGAATCTACCGACTGTAGTCAGATTCCCATACAATCAACAAATATATACACGTCTGGATTCTTCACAAAATAAGGAAAGAGAAAAGTTCGAATTAACTTCAAAAATAACTCCCTCGTAGAGGGCAAGGTCGGATTTACGGTGTTCACTGTATTTATCCATGCGCGAAATTTGTTCCGTGGAAAAATCGAAACAATTTCAAATCTAACTCTCAGCTAAGAATTCTACTGATAAACTTAAATCACCCTATAGACATGGCATATGCAATTGTACTGATACTGAATTGTGGAATAAAATTGAAGTGTTTGTTTGTTTGCCAATCAGCACGCGACAATACGCTGTTCAAACTATTGAACGAAATTGTGTTGACTGTCGATAAGGCGTTTATTTTTACTTTTAAATATTAATCATAAGTTAAAAAAGAATAAAGGAGGCACGCATTATGATTTGTTTTCTTCCAAAGCTGTGTCATTCAAATAGATCTTAAATACCATACAAAAACAGTCCAATGCTTAAATCGAGCATGTATGCATATATTTGTATATCTCTACACATGTGTAAACACAGCCTGGATACATCTGTACAGTGTTAACAGCTCATACACATGTGCAGCCTGACACTTGAACAGACATTATAGCAAGACAACTTAATATGTATCTAATACCTAAAGAATGGCCTTCAAAGTATTAGATATATCTTTAAATGAACTAAAGCTACAGTGCATCTCTTATTCTAGTAGAGATATATTTAAACGTAAAAGCGATCTCTTTAAGTGAAATGAAGCTACATGTATCTCAAAATTGAATAAACAGATTTTGAAAGAAAACTATCATTTAATTTATTCGGGCAATATTTATTGGAATTAAAGATATCTTTACACGTAATAGACATATCTTATGTAGGTAAGATTAAATATGTTATATCTCTTTGTTTTTTAAATTTCTCCTAAATTGATAAAGATTATATATTTTGTTTTTAAGATTTCTCTATAATTAATAGAGATATCTCTGTAAGATATAATTATTAAGTGTTAAGCTGGCATGCCATAAGTCGGCCATGTGTCAGGAAAAAGTCGGCCATATTTGTAAAAACAGTTCGCTTACTTCATTTGCACACTTCGAGACTCCGCAATGAACGAATTGCTTCCATCATGTTTTTGCACTCTTTGTCTAAAATTCACCCTTCCGAACATATATAGATATGGTGTCATAACTTAATCACGTGACACAAAACGTGGTATATGTATATAGTGAGTATACAAAGCAAATGTAAAAATATGTCAACATTTGTCTCCACTCCGTATGAATATTATTCTCTCACAGACAACTACGTTTTGGTATTAATTGGCTTGAGTATTTCTGTCGCATTTAACCTCAGAATGAAAAGACTATGTAACCGACAAGTGGGTAACCAAAAATGTTGCAACTCCTACTAGGTTTATCCACTAAGTTAGAATTGAAGAAACATACAATGGTCGTGGGAACAAATGAGGATTTTTACACGACCACACAACTAAACGTTCGACTCTCTTGCTTTCTCAAGTGATTCTGGAGTGATATTGCCATTGATTTCCAGTTCCGGTTCTTTTGCTTCTTCATCTTTCTGGGTAACTTTCTGATATTTTTCCGGATTGCATTTTTTGTATATAACAAATATAATGGTAATAACAAAAAGTGGAAGTGGCGTCATAACCGCAGAGGCTGCTGGAGCGACTGCCGCTAATTGTCCATCCGGTGGTGGGAAAGCATAGAGCAAAATGATGAAAGCCAAACTGGTATTTTGCATACCTGTTTCTATGGCTATCGTCTTGATTTTCACCCAGGGTTGTCTCAGAATAAACGCTATGATGCCTCCTATAACATAACCGAAATAAGGCAGAAGACAGCCAGCTAGAATCACTTTAGGATTAAAAAGTTTAAATATGAACAAGTTTGAATATATCCCAACTGACAGAAGAATAATAATGGCCACGATGGTTACCGGAGTGACGATCTTCAGGATGAATCTTTTGACCTTAGGAAGTTTGTATTGTACGCCGATTCCAACGAGGAGCGGAATGATGAGAAGGAGAAGAGTAGTGAAGATGTTGAAAAACGGGACATCCAGCTTTTTATTACCGTCTTGGAGGAATTCTTGACCTAACGTGTACATCCATAGTGGAAGAAAACCTGAAAGAAATCGGAAACAAATTAACCCAGACAAATATGAGAGAAAAAGATGCAAGATGCAAAACGATATACGACTTTTCATTTATGAAGATGGAGCCAATCAGAATGTCACAAAATAAAAAGGTCTTCGGTCACACATTAAATGGGTACGTATATGGTATGTTGGTCTGTTCAGGATTTTGCCTCCTGACAAAAGCGAATGTTTTTATTGTCCAACAATAACGAGAGCGCGTACGGGAAATGACGTCATATGTTGGATTAATAAAGGGCGGTTATCAAAAGACGATTTCAAAAAACTCAAAAGTGTTAACAAAAATCTGATGTTTATATTTGACGCAGTCTGGTGGCGTTTTAAGTTGACGTAATGTTTATCGTCGAGATTCTGATATCAATACAGCCTTGTGCAAGTGATGTAATAACACGTTCTAAATACGTATAACACACAGTAGCACACCGCCAATCAGGCCCTCGCTTTAACAGTTCAACTGCTGCTCCAGCAATTGATTTTTGGACACTTCCTCGTGATCATTTGTAGTTTTCGAAAATCGTTTACTAATACGAGACGGTTTACTTGTTCATAGTAGTTTTCGCATACTTTTTGTGTCTAAGACCAAACTTACATACAGCGTATGTTTAACTCAAAACTTATCAATCTCGTAGAACTGTTTGTATGGACACAACCTCAATGTTGTGGAGCAAGGACCGGTTCAAAGTTAGAGATAAACATGTCAGTATAACATAAAAAAGACAGGATCGGTAGACTCTTATACGTCTTTATATTTTCGAGCGAAGCCTGAATGAGGGTAGAAAAATACGGCAAGCAAAACACTTGTATGACTTACCTATGGCGGTTATGGTGCTGATAAGCGTCATAGTAATGGATAATGACAGATCACCATCCAGAAGGTGGGAGTATATGTTGCTAGCCCCACCCCCGGGGCAGCAGCCTGCAAGGAAGATTCCCAAGGCCACAGACGGTTGATCGGACGCAACAAGTTTAGCGACGGCATATCCCAGCTGTAACAAAAAAAGAAACAATAATGAAATGGTGGAACCAAGCTAAACTCGAATATTTCACAATGTCCACAATAACGCGATTTGATGAAAAAGAAAGTTATTTATATTACAGAGATAAGTTCTTATAAGTTGGACTTATTAGTGTTACGGAAGGTTGAATGAAAAAAGGGTTCCAAAAAGTATGTAGAATACGGCACAGAAGGAAGGATGCCTACACTAAATCCATGTTGTTAAAAATGTGCATCTCCTAGCTACAACAATAACGTAACTAGTATTGTATGTCAAACCTACCACAGTAAATTCTAGCTACAAGTGTACGCCCAAGCTCGGGGACTGATAGTCGACCAGCAAAGTCAACCCTCTTGTTGAAAGTTGATAAATTATTGTATCAACCAGAACGAGGTTAAAATTGCATGATTATATGACACTGAACATACATGTACATGATCGAACGTCAGGCAACCACGTGATTCGAGATAGTTTATTCATGGGACATGTTGGCAAACCCGATCACTGCAGCCAATTTATTCATGTGTAAAATAATAAATGTTAACCTTGGTGGTCGGTTGGCAAAGCAGATTGCGCATTCGCCTTTCACCAAAATGTTATGGGCTTGATTCCTCGAGAAGTCGTGAAACGGTATCGGAGTCACCTACGTATACCCGACCACGTGGGTTTTCGCAAGGTACTCCGGTTTCCTCCCTCATTGAGACCCTCTGCGCGCTACCATTTAGGCCACCAAGTGTGATTAATATATGCTTATGGAAATTATCGATGTAAAATAAATAAAGTTCAATTTAATACTACACTTGTCATCGAAAACAAAAAGCAAAAACCCTTGGGCCTAGAATCGTGTCTAGCTTATTTGGCATTATGCATGACCTTGAAATGTATCACAACTACGCTTGTAGAAACTAGTTTGTCTTGTTGGATGAGTTGGTGACATTGGCACGGATGCATTTCAAACCTCACAAACTATGACTAAGCAGAAAGGAGTCTTGAGGAAAGTATAATAGTCTTTTATTCGTAGACACATCAATTGCACTGGAAAATGGCTCGATGACACAACCGTATGAAATATTAAAGTGATCAATTGAAAGCTTCGACAGATAGTGAATGAGTACTAAAGGAAAAAGCTTCGGATTTCTCCAAATATCGGTCGGCATATACATGGCTCGGCAGAACTATAACTACCAATGATATCAAAAATTAAGGCGTTTAAAGTCGCAGGGTGCACTTGAGTTTTGTGGTGAAAGAGGCGGAGAGTATGTTAGAGTTGATGAAATTCGTTTGGAAACTCGCAACGCCAGACAGGGAATTGGCTTTCCACATTTTTTAGCAGAAGTAGAAAACAAACACCCAAGGAAAAATGTCAAATGGTACAAATAGAAAATCAAAAGGATTGTAGAAGAAAAAGGAAGGGACTATCTGAGAACTTAGTATATTAGGAGGTATGGACCAAATGGAATCTCCAGAGGCCTTTACAGGTGAGGTGGGTGAGAACTTAAATAATATCCCTGCTGCAAACTGTTAGAGAATGGAGAGCAATGTCACACATCTTGCGCGGGGCTAGAAAACATTAAAGCAGGGCAGGAATATATGTAGATGCAAAGTCTAGCGGTCCTAGTAGATATACTACGAGCGGGGAAAAGAAGCAAATTCGTGGAATTTATATCTCCCGCTTTCAGGACATATTGTAGGTAAACATTATTGAGGTTAGGTTTACACATGTGAGTATCGTGCTGTCGAGACATAATGTATAGCTTGAAACTCGAAGGAAAAAAAGCCTTATCTAATACTTGCTAGTTATTAAGCGGAAACTGCAGATACTGACTCCGACTCAAATGGAGTCCGATTAAAGTGGTTGCGAAATTTGTCCGAGCCCTTAGTGCGTTGAACCCTGTTACTAAGATTGATGACAATCGGATACTATTTACGAGAGTTAATGAACAGAAACGGACGGTAATAAACTTTTTCGTTATTCAATGGGCCATAACTCCACCAAATGGGGTCCTCTGAAAGTGGTCATCAAAGTTTGCCGAGCCCTTAAGGTATTAAACCCAGTGACCAAGTTTAAAGAAAATCGGTTAACTTTTGTCATAGTCATTGCACGGAAACGAAGCGTAGCAGACAGACAGACGGACAAACCCAAAGTAAAAGCGGGGGAGAAAAAAAAAGGAAATGACTAGTGTCAGATAGTAGCAATCTTGGATACAGTTTGTGAACCCAGGGAAAACGTTACAGGGAAGTCTCGAAATAATGCATGGCATGGTAACATGGAGTAAGCCAGACGCCTTATCGCCACAACATCGAGTAAGCCAGACACCTTATCGCCACAAGTACCATGGAGGGAAAGGCTGCCAGGAAGCCAATAACAGGAGTATCACAAAGACATTCTGAGAAATTTAGTAGTGATCATATTTTAGTTGTTAAACGGCGATAACAAATTCATCAAAACCAACAAGAGACATTTCGGAAAGTGTTTCAGACTGTATTTTATATCTGATGTATTTGCTTTCTTTAAGAATTATAATCATTATACACTTACAACATTATTTACCTGCAGCCTATGTGAGATACCCGTTGTGTCATATTAATTCAAACTGACATGTTTATCTCCATGTCTTCGTTACGTCAGTGCTATAGTGCCACTGGTATAATCTTCCTTTTGTTGTCCAGACCTAGTATTACCTATATGTTACGTAACTGAGTCGCCTCACTAGTTCGGTCAATGGCGCATGAAAACTACCTTTAATGACAACTGTCACTCTCGTGTGAGATAATTCTATTATACCTCGGTTATGTACGTCTGTAGTAAATAAGTGATGTAAGTATGTTGTAGTCAGATAGGTCCTAGACTCTGTACAGAACACTTCGGGTAAATTTTGGAAAGTCAAGAATATCCTACCGTCAAATCTTAGAGTCATCTGAAGTGTTTGTCCTCATTCTAAACCTATTGTTAAATAACGCACAGCTTAAGGTCATAGGAGTGTATTGATAAACGGAAATAGGAAGTACATCCCTAGTTGAAAATCCAATGACGGGAGACAGTATCACAATTTCCGCATATTCTAAGTTTAATATTAAACTGATGAATACTGTATGTTTATTATTGACAGAACAATGTGTTCTCTCAATATTAAAGTATTTCAAAGCAATCAAGGCATTAATTCAGTTGGGTTTTTTTATCAATGAGTCACATGTGTCCATTTTTCTGTACTTCAGGAAACCGGCTACCTATTTCACTACGGTGAAGTTTTTCAAGAAAGATAACTCTGACATGCAATTACTATGTGTATATGGTTTTATTATAAAATGTCCATTTTTAATCGTTTATAGACCATTTATTTTACACAAAGTCAGCATTTAATAATTCAAAATTCACTCCTTTTTACATTAATTTCCATTTAAAATCCTTAAAATTCTGACAGCCTATGGGGTTTTTTCGTGGCAGAAAATGTTTACTTCAAAGCAATATAACTAGAAACTTTGAAGAAATTCCAATGAGAAATGGTGACACAAACCTATTACCTTAACTGCTGAATACGGTTTTAATTAGTGTTGAAATGTTAATTTGAATTTTAAGGCTTGACGGAAAACGACTTTAGAATCAATGGTTGGTTTTTATGTTGAGGTAACTGGTCAGGCGGTGAAATATTTGTGATTTCATTCTTTGAGATACAAGGTGTTGGACTCTACCAGTGGATTTCTTAGTCCTCAAAGTTTTCGGTAACCTTGATAATCACAGTTGTCCATTTTGAGTAGTGGCAACGTTCATAATATACATATTTTACCTTTATCAATTTTATATAAAATACGTGCAAGAACACCCCTTACTCTACAGTAATTGAGACCAATTTGAATTTCCTCCTTTGGTCCATACAGAAATGAAAGAGCTACATGATGCAGCGTTATTCATTTTCGGTTGACTGTATGTGTTCTCTCATTTATCTTTCATTGTACGTCTGTGTGGTGATACCTGTCTTGGAGAGTAAGTGGGAGGTCATTATCTACGACACGCTTTGTATGTCCATTGTATATAGCCACCAGGTACAGCTGACGGGACTTAAGACACTCTATTATAGCTCTGGGGTGCGATATGACGAAATGTAGTCCCTATTACAATGACATGCGTTTTAGTTGTGACACAGATGTACCTGGAGTAGTTCAAAGATGAAGGTAGCACATGGAGAACTAGGTCGGGTAGCCAGTGATGGCTAACGTAAGGCGTCATTTGTCTGAAATATCACTGAAGGGGTTACCAACTCTACGTCATTCAGTCGAGAGCTAATACAGCCTAAGGGTTTCCAGCAAAGAGCTAATACAGCCTAAGGGTTTCCAGCAAAGAGCTAATACAGCCTAAGGGTTTCCAGCAAAGAGCTAATACAGTCTAACTAAGGCTTCCAACATCAGTGTGTCGGTAAGATTAATGTCTATTATGCGGATGACCTTTGCAAACAACAGAATACAATGCTTACGAGTGAAATAACGATATTTTAGTTAACCTTCCCCGAAAGTTTTCCAACGGCAACTTCTTCCGTTCACGGATGAAGGGATTTTAACCAAACATGAGCTGAAACATCTTTGGGCAAAGATATATTGGTGTTGTATAAACCATAAGTCTTGCTCCTGAGGTTGGAAGAACGGTGGCTAACATAAAAAACGGGAATAAAACTATAACTTAAGTGCAGATCAAAGGATTTTGGCAATTGATCTGAAACCTCACTGAGGCAATAGAACCCAATCTTGTTTAAAAGAAAAGTGTCCCAACCCCTTCCTTAATGCAAGGTCGGGGGCATGGAAAGCAGAGATAGAGGTAAATCTACAAAGGCTTTCTCTTCAGTATATGTGAGATTTGCTCAAGGAGAATAAAAATTGCTCATTTCAAATCCAAGGTATCAACCTTAGACATCGATTGGTTCTGGTATTTTCCATCTGACCGATTTCATATGAATTTTTCTGTCTTGGTCGTGATCAAATATTGTTATTTCAAAACTTTTCTCATAATTGCAAATCCAACCAGATCAGTTTTTAAGTTGCAAAAATGTCCTGACCAAGTGTTGTTAATTGAGTCAAGAGAATTGACTCTTTAAATCAAGAAGAAATCTGAGAAGGCCTCTGGGGTGTCAAGTAAGCAGAAGACAAAATAAACATGACAGTGATACAGGTTCTTTGGGTCTCTTGATTTATGTGTCAGATAACGGATTAAGGGACGTTCTATAACCGTAAAAACTCTAGAAATATTTTCATATGGAAAACATTGCTGGAACTGAGGAAAAAACTCTTTTTGACACCAACAATGGTTTTCAATGGACAAATGGAAGAGTTCGTGAAATCAGGGTCCGTATTTTTAAGGATCCCTGTACCACTTCCAAAACTGTACTTATGCTTTAGAAATTGTTTTTCGGGCATGACTTTACCTTATATAAATCATTTTCTGAAAAGAAAACCATACGCTTATGAAAGAAAAACAAATGGAAAATAATATATATATATAATCAGCAATAGTGTCATACATGTAGAAAAGATGATGACTGAGCTAGACGGGATTTTGAACTCTTCAATTCATATTGTTGTACCATTGTTCTAACCAACTGACCTACCTTAACAACAGTGTCCAAATGTGCTACAGTTTTATCCAATTCAATGGAGGTTACTGGTTATACGAAATAACCACAGTACATGGGACAGGGCTCCTTAAGTGTTGATATTGTGTAATGGATACATCCGGTATGACATTTATCCAGTATCAACATGCACAAGGTCACTGGTATTTGTATTTCTGTAATATGGGGCATGACCTTATAACATTACTTTATCTTTCTTGTCCCAAAAACGTGCTGGTTATCTAATACCGCATGACTCTTACTGTATCTGTATAGATACATACATGTACCAGTATACATGTATACATGTATCTGTATACTTAGAACATGTACCAGTATACATGTATCTGAATAGTTAGAACATGTACCAGTATACATTGATCTGTGTAGTTAGTACATGTACCAGTATACATTTATCTGTATAGTTAGAACATGTACCAGCATACATGTATCTGTATAGTTAGAACATGTACCAGAATACATGTATCTGTATAGTTAGAACATGTATCAGTATACATGTATCTGTATAGTTAGAAGATGTACCAGTATACATGTATCTGTATAGCTAGAACATGTACCAGTATACATGTATCTCTATAGTTAGAACATGTACCAGTATACATTGATCTGTGTAGTTAGTACATGTACCAGTATACATTTATCTGTATAGCTAGAACATGGACCAGTATACATGTATCTGTATAGTTAGATACATGTACCAGTATATATGCAGGCATTATTATATCTAATAATGCCTGCATATATACTGGTACATGTATCTAACTATACAGATACAGGTATACTGGTACATGTTCTAACTATACATGTATCTGTATAGTTAGATACATGTACCAGTATACATGTATCTGTATAGCTAGAACATGTACAAGTATACATGTATCTGTATAGTTAGAAGATGTACCAGTATACATGTATCTGTATAGCTAGAACATGTACAAGTATACATGTATCTGTATAGTTAGAAAATGTACCAGTATACATGTATCTGTATAGCTAGAACATGTACCAGTATACATGTATCTATATAGATACATACATGTACCAGTATATATGTATCTGTATAGTTAGAACATGTACCAGTATTCATGTATCTGTATAGTTAGAGACATGTACCAGTATACATGTATCTGTATATTTAGAACATGTACCAGTATACATGTATCGGTATAGTTAGAACATGTATCAGTATACATGTATCTGTATAGTTAGAAAATGTACCAGTATACATGTATCTGTATACTTAGAACATGTACCAGTATACATGTATCGGTATAGTTAGAACATGTATCAGTATACATGTATCTGTATAGTTAGAAAATGTACCAGTATACATGTATCTGTATATTTAGAACATGTACCAGTATACATGTATCGGTATAGTTAGAACATGTATCAGTATACATGTATCTGTATAGTTAGATACATGTACCAGTATATATGCAGGCATTATTAGATATAATAAGAAATACGTGAGCCAACATTGTTAGTACAAAAATATAGAAATAAAAGGGGATATTTTACTGGAATGTTATTGGTTAAGTGAGAGCCTTATGATAAAAGTGAATATTTTATTGTGTTTAACCCCCAACTCAACCCTTACCATGCCCACACTTCCCCCATCCCTTATCCCTCATCTCTATATGAATGGGTACTTACAAGCGGCATCACTAGGTATTGACATCCCAGACCAATGCTCACAGCTATTGGCTTCTTGACCGATTCCTTGACCACCTTTAGGTCCAGTTTACAGCCAAACGCCAGTGTGATGAAGATGAAGAAGAAATACACTATGACCTGTACTGCCAGATCAAGCTTTGACATTTTTCGATTGATGACGAATGGGAATAATAGTTGATCCGTGTTTCCGTCGTCACTGATGGAATCATTGTCCGGACTTGACCTACGGACAGTGATGACCAAGTTTCTCCGTCCAAGCAGGACTCCGGACAGGTGTAGCCTGATCTTGTCTGATTGGACTAATTCGTAGAGTTGGTCAGCCATCGGAGACAAGCTAGATATTGGTGTGGTTGTAATGGAAGTGTTCTCCATACTGACGAGAGTTTCTGTCGCATTTTCACACGAAATCAGGACCCTGTCCGGAGAGACGACGAAGAACCTATCGGGATCCTGGCTACGAAAAGTGAGCTGAACTTTCTCAGCAACTCTATCACACACAAGTCTGTAGGACATAGACACAGTTTTCACTTCGTCCATAAAGAGAAAAAAATCCATGGGGTTGTCAAAAAATGCATTGAACCCTTTAGGCGTAGTTGAAGAGGTATCGTTACCTTCAATCCCAACCCCCGGGACGCTATATTCGGGCTCAACCCCTTCACATACACCGATCGCCACGCACACACACATAACCATCAGCTTGTAATCCATGGCTAGACTGAGTACGGCTCGCCACCCGTAAATGTGTTTATACTATCATAGAATGACCCGTGAACTTGTTTGTAAACAGCCTAATTCTGAGGGCTTTGATATATTTCAGGGGTTATTATGTGGAACGTGCCGAGAACCTGTAGGCATATATACAATAGATGCTTATCACAGGGACCAGTTTCCTTCCACCCTGGATTATGAATTAGAAACCAGATGCTGTTCTTTTGAGAGCGTATTACAGGTAGGTCGTACTTCTCCCCGGGAAGCAGGTACTTGACGTATTATATGTCATTAAGCTACGCATGGATGATAATTATAACGTAGTTTAATTCATGTCATCTTTACAAAATAAGAATACCCGATGTCACCATTACTTACCTTATTGTGCTCGCCTGCTCCGGGATAATAACTTTCCGCTCTGGGTATGTTCAATGTTGATGAGTCGGCCGAGTGGTAAAGGCGTCTGACATTCTGCTACCACTACCTATAGCCCC